CTCTACAGTTCCTCTAGCATGTGGTTTACGACCACGATCCAAAGCAGGGTTGAGATGAACCCACCAAACGCGGCCACACTCAGCCGCGACTGTTCCGCAGCAGGGTAATCTAAAAAATATACCATCCAAAACAGATGTGATATGTCCTTTTTATGCGCGTTTGAAGGAGATTTATCTACATTAATTGAAAAATAATGACATTTAATTTAATATTTTATTAATGTGTTTGCTAAGTATCATTTAACAGCTTGCATGCGCAACTATTTGCTTAAATAATTAGTAACACAAATTCAAACACACGTGTCAATTTGATTATGCTAAAATTATGAAATTTACCAAAATATTCTAATTGCATATCATTTTCTAAATTATCTTGCAAACAAATATGTATTTGGAGTATAATTTCGTACGCGTTATAAATTATGTCTATGCATATTACGATTATGCACACATAGGCATAGCTAAATACAACCATACAAGAATGCAAACAATCCTCTTACATTCGAAATAACTGTTTTGATATATGTATGTATACATATAAATATGTTGCCTATAACTTTAATGTTTAGATATGTGTTTGTATGGATATACTTATTTAATATTGCGTCTCAGCTGGAAACTTCATTACTTCAATTGACGATTTCTCTTAGCTTAAGTGTGCAGGCATTAATGTTTGACCCCAGCACCCAGTTTTGCAGATATGAGTATTTTCCTACCTCACATAATTTTCGCCCCAAAAAGGAGCACAGTCATTTCTAACCAGCAAGAAGAAAACGGAAACCGGAAATCACAACATTTCATATCCTCTCTTTCCACTCACTGCAGGGGACTTACATAAGCGTGTAAATACTGTGTACACACATATAAAAGTACGCCTCTGTTTATGAAAAGCTGCAAATCACGATACGAAATTGGGCAAAAAATAAACAAATAATGACTTGCATATGCGTGTATACATATGTTCATATATTGTATATATGTATGTAAGTACCTATACATTGTAAACCCGCAATATACCCGCACAATAAAAAAAAAAACGCAAAAACCTGAAAATCCAATAGGTTCTTGAATAAATAGTACATCTACAGTACTGTGTGGTAGGTAGCAACACTTGGATATTAGTGAACAAAGTTATCCTAGTTATATTTTTTCTGACTCTATCAAATTTTACATGGCGATTAATCATCCCAAAGGCAATCAGTTAATGTGCTCTGTACTGTCACCCGCAGAAAAATGTTGCTATCTTAATTTTTTCTGCAGAGTGCTCTCTTTCTTCGTACTGTTATTAAAATGGCAACCCTCTTTTTAATTGGAAGGTGATTAATATTCAGCCAGTTGACCATCAGTGTTGCCAGAACTTTTTGGGCCGACCGGCTAGATTGGCAAAACAAACGGCTAAAAACGGCTAAAATGTTTTAGTGAAAATTCACATGCTTTATTTAAATAAATCGCAAGAAACGAAAGACTAGTTAACACCATTATTATAAGCGTGTTTAAAAAAAATACATTAAAATTTCACAGGCAAATTTGGGCAGCTGAATTTTATTTTATTCGGTATTCGACAGCGTGTTATTACTGTTTCATTTAACAACTCAAATTTAAAAAAAAAAACCATTATATTTCTACTTCTAAAAAAGTTTTCATTACAGTGTTGATATTCACAAAATTTTTTTACGTATTTTCCCAACCTACATTTGGTTTTGTAAGATTTCCTTTACTCGACGTACTTTTACACCTTTCCCTTTGAATCTACCGCAATATTGTTTTTGGGCGAAGACCACATTCCGACTGAAAATAAACAGGCGACTTGGGGTATAGGCCATTCCTGTGAATATTTTTCTCTTCTTAGACGAGCTCTTTAACCAAGTTAAGATGAAAAAGAAACTTTTTCTTCCAATTTTGGCCGCAGTTTTGGATTTCGGCCGCACTGTGCGCCCTCCAAACTTTTAGGTAAATATATTAGATATGATCTGTTTTAAGCGCAACTCGATTCTTATATTTATTTTACCTCCAAAGGTACAAAACTGATGTATGGTGAATATTGACAATTTTTTTTGTAGAATATTAAAGATAATCATTTTGTGCATATTTCTTTTGCCTTTTTATAGCAGCGTGCATAACATAAAAAAATTGTTGTCAAAAAATCTAATTATTGCACGCTACTATAAAAAAGCAGAAATACAAGTTTTTCAATTTTTTTATACCTTAAAATGTGACTTGAACATATTTAAGAATTCTTTCTAAATGTTTATGACCGATTATAAGATTTATAAGTACTTTTTTGAAAAATCCGTGACTTGGCAAAATTTTCTTGGTAAACTGGCCTCAACAAAGAGATTGTGGGCTTCAAAAAGTAATTTAATTCTAGGCATCGCTAATCACTTTGTATAATAGCTAGAAAATTTACACTTAAATAAAACTTTAAACCTTACCAAATCAATTTTTTTCCTGCACCTTCATTTCGTCAAATTAGTATTTTATTTAGTTATGTATGCATTTCGGTTGACTTACTTTTTCAAATCTTACTACACGTATGTAGATGTTCTTCTATTCGTGCACGTAGCGAACTCCTTGTCTGCCCAATATATTTGCAGTTGCAATGCGAACAGGTTACTTCGTAAACTCCGCTCTGTTCTTCCGTCGGCAATTTGTCTTTGGTTGAAACAAGCGCATTTCTCAGTTTGTTGTTTTTTGTGTAAACTACTTGCAAATTACATTTTTTGAAGGCGTGTTTCCATTTATTGGTGATGGCAGGAATATAGGGCAATGAAACACGCTGTAGTTGAGACGACTTTGCGGTGTGATTCTGTGAGAAAAGCGTGCTCTCCTTGTTCCGTCTTATTCAATTAGAGTGTTTACTTATCAGCTGATCGATGAGTGACCTCTCGAAGCCATTTATATCTGCTATATGTTTTATTTGTTTCATATAGTCTTTTGCAGACAATGGCAAGGAGCAGAGTCTGTAAAGCATTGAGTTAAAAGGTTGACAATTTTTGCTGATATGTGCAATAGGAGTCGTTTGTAATATATCGGTCGGTCGATGTTGACTTCCGATAAATGTCGAATTCAATTTTCTTCCCTTGTCGCTTAATAAGAATATCAAGAAAAGGAAGAGAACTTGTTTTCCGTCTTCCTTTTCAAAATTGAATTTATGCTCGCATAGCGGCGTTCAGTGTTCCGAGTATTTTATCTATGTCGGATATTGTCACTACGGCGAAAGTATCGTCCACATATCTATGCCAAATTCGTGGCAAAACACCTTCACTTTTTAGTTGCGATTCGAAATTGCAAATAAAAGCTTCTGCTACATATGATGATAGACTGTTATCCATGCTACAGCCGAAGTTGTTGTTGAAGTAAACGCCTCGAAATTGAAAGCAATTGTGCTACATACAAAATGTTTGTATTTGTATAGCGATTCTACTTTGTTCATGCATGTGTCCATAATTTCGATCGTTTCCGCTTGCCACTCTCACGGTCAGCTTCTATGCGTCCGTGATTCCACATACATACGTTGCGCACAGTGGCCGCAGATGTACACAAAAACACCATTTAATGAAGGATATTAAATTGTCCACTCAGCTGGCACTAATTGCTAGAGAGCCAGTGTTTATGCGGGCATTTAAATAACCCTAAGTGTGTCAAAATAGAGTGTTTTTTTCTAAAGCTAGGGAAATTTACGGCTAGGCACGCACATACTCGCATGCTACCCACGGCTATTAAAACAACAAAACAAAAAAAAAAACAAATTGGAAATAATGTACATATTTATTGCAACTGTGCAAATAATAGTCAAGCAAGTTTGTATGTAAATAGCGGTAAGAGTGAGTGTGTCAAACTTAAGAAACGAGGGATTTTAACTATGCAATGCGTTCAAATGAAAATAACTTTGCTTCTCGTAATGTTTCAACAATTTCTGATTAGGCAAACAATCAAATGGACAATTTCACCAGAGGAATAACTGAATTTCATTGCAAATAGTAAGTATAAAATTTAGGTACACAAACAATGTTACGTGCACTTTCNTGATTATGGTAACGGCCTTTAAATCACAAACGTATACCAATGTGCTTTAGCCTTGGCCGCCAGGCATTTTTATGGTAACAGTTACTATGGAAATACATATTCCAATTTGCCTAAAAATAAACAAACATATATAAATTACGCCTCAACAATCAGTTCCACATTGTAACTTTTGCTAACCAACTACCAAATGGTATTAACCCTCGCACGCCCTGTTGAACGCATCTGTTCCCCGAACCGCGCCACTTTTTTTGTGTGTTTGGCTGTTTACAGCTGTCCTGTAGCCACTAAGAAATTGTCAGGGTTCGGAGATATTTTCCTTATGAATTTTGATGCGCTTGCCTGTAACATAATATACGCCATATTTTTTGGTATTAGGTCCTGATGTAAAGGAGCAAAACGGAATTCAGATACGTATTCCTGCCAAAAGTAACGGGTGATTTTTTATTAGACGGGTATAAATTTCAAACGCATATGATTTCTGGTTTGACCATTATAAAATGTTGCTTATAAATGTTTACATAGTTTTCTAACAAAAACTAAAAACAGTTACTACAATTTGATGTTTTCATTTCATTTTCTTTAATAAATTTTATAACATAACCCTTTCGTTAAAAAAGAAAAAACATTGTTTCAGAACTACTTTTAGCAACTTTTATGTTGCATACAAGTAACCACAATAAAAAGACTCTAAAAGCAAATTTGTTCCATAATTATAGCATGCAATTCAGCTTTTCCAGCTCTACAACATTCTAAAGTTTCATTCAAAATATATTCAAATATTTCAAACAGCAACATTTATAAAACAAAATGCCAATTTTTCCTATAGGCAACATCGGCATGAAAGGGTTAAACTACATATTTACATGTATACACAGTTCCAATTTTATCACAAATTCCATTTACTTTCTTTGAAAACACACACTTTAGAATGCACACACTCACTCTGATTAAATTTCCTTTTTGCTCTCATACAGACAATTCCAGCGGTGGTGGCGGCGATATTTTGCAAAAATCCGTTTCGACTACTTCAACAAAAGTGCCACAAAGTGTATTTGGCTTGCGGGTCTTGCCATGCGTGGGCGCTGCAGAACAACAGAGGGACATGCAACCGGCACAAACAATACAGCAACAGCAGTCATTACTACATAACAATATAACCAGCCGATTGCACGGCTGCAACAATAATGGCCACCACACGGACAATAGAAGTGCGACATCTTTGTTTGCCGATTACCAACAGCAGCCGCCATCGCAGCAACCGAATCGCTTTACTACTGCGCGCCAATTTGCCACAACAACAAATAATAGCCATCATCAGCTTCATGTGCAACAACAAGAGCCACATGTGTTGCAACAAAGGCCACCACCACTGCAAGCACAACATAAACAGGAATATCTGATGGTGGATCGACGGAAATCCAATTCATCGCCAAGTCAGCGCTTTATAGAGTCGGCTTTAAGGAGGTGAGTTAAGAAGGGGCAATTTGGCTAACTCAACTATAATAGGTGAGAATTCGGAAAGAATCTTAAGTATTAGCCAATCAGTAGCAGGGCTCAAAAGTTTAAGCTTTTGCTTGGAATTGCCTATTTAGCTTATTATGGTTTCCCCAGCTAAAATTTAACGATCATTGGTATTTTGCTTATTTTTATACACTCTAAAAAATATTTATTTAAAATTGCCTTAGAAAATGTTGGCTTAAATTTACGCATATAAAGAGATGTAATCAGTTTCCTCTCATAATGTGTGCAAAATTAAACACTGCCTGTTTACTTTTATATACTGAATTCGTCGCGTAGGACAAAATTACATACACAATGTTTAAAATTGGTTATATATGAGATTTTAATGTTTATTATTAGTAGAAAATGCATTTTTACTTTCAAAATTTTGCAGTTTTAAACATTTCTTTTGTGTGTATATTTAAAACACTTAATGTTCAATGTTCTCAATAGTAGTTATACGTACATTTTTTAGAGTGTAGGGTTTGGTTCAATATGCAGGAACGTTTCGAAGATTTCCTAAATCCTTCAGGTTCGTTTTACTGGATTGTTAAAAAAAACACGCTAAACTTGCAGTACACTGAGGAGCAAATCCGTTAAATACATTTCTNGCATACATATGTACGTTCAGCTATCATAAAGCTCAGCGATGAAGATTCCAATCGTATTCGTGAACAATAGAAATGTTTACAAACAATAACAAAAAACAAATTTGATTTTATTATTACCTACTTCAATTGTATTTCTCCTGGGAGACAAAAATTGCAAACCAAAGGTTTGTCTCCTCGGCAAAGCATTATTGTAATTGAATAGATTAAAAACCAAAAAACAGATTTGATTTTATTATTATTTACTTACTTCAATTGCATTTCTCCTGGGATACAAAAATTACAAATCAAAGTTTTGTCTCCTCGACAAAGCGTTATTGTAATTGAATAGATTAAAAAAAAAAATGATTTTAAATTGAGATTAAGGGATATTTATAAACTTAAATTCAGTGTGGAAAAGAAAGTATGGATTCGTATCTGACTACTTCGAGCTTCAAATATTAATATTTTTTGAAAAATTTTGTTTTATATGACAACATTATTTGATGAAGTGAGCTCAAACTCAAGAATTTGAACCGAAAATCGATACGGAGCTCAGGCACACCAATTTGGAATCATACTATAGCTGACTGCTATAGAAAATTTCTTTTCCTCAAATGCACGGTATTTGTATGTAGTTCCTCAAGAAGTCCATAAGCTTGTTCGATCAATTCAAATTGATCTAATTTAGAAAAGACTTCCATAAATTTGATTTCTGAATAATTTTTACCAGGGACGCTTTCCACTGGGCATTGTGCACAATTATTACTCAGTCAGAGTGCCATTTGTGAAATATGCTCGTGTTTTAGATTCTTAGGTATTTTATGATCTTTCGTGAGTGCGTTTTAATCGGTTTTTATCGGCGGGGTATCTGGTGCTTCCACCTTTCCCTTGCAGGTTATTTTTCTCTGTGTTCAACGCATAGTTAAGTCTTATTAAAATTCAGGACTAGTTTCAAATCACGCGCAGAGAACAGCTGGCTTTCTTGAGGTGTAATAATAGGGGAACTACAGCAGGTGTGTTTTGCGTTATAATCGCCGTCAGCTGGAAACCTACACACAAACGTTTTAAAGAACTTTCGAACTCAAATCTTCTGATTTTATGTCTGGGTGAGCTATAAATTGTGTATAGCTTTTTCATGTGTCTGCGGCAGTGATGTTTGTTGCTTGTATAGCATCAGCGCGGTATGAGTTCTGTGAGTAAAACCGGATTTCTGGCATACTTTTGGTCACCTTTTAAAAAGAAATATATTCAAATTATTAAAAAAAAAGCCAATTAGTACAAAATGGTTATCAATCGAAATGGTTTGAAAAGCTTTGTTTCTTAACTTAACTACAGGAAGGTTGCCACCCGTTTCGAAAACCAAATTCAATTTGAATTATGTGAGTTAAGTGCAGAGAAATATGTAGCACCATATGGGTGCCAAACGAAAATGGTTACAGAAGGTAGTAGTTTGAAAATATTTTGAAGATTGTTGCCACCTGCCTGAAATATCGAATTTAGTTAACTTATTCTAAAGTTTTATGAAATATCAAAATATGGATGTCAAACAAAAACTTTAGCTTGAATACTAAAAATATTTTTGAGGTGCTCGAAGAGGGTTGCCACCCGTTTCAAATATTGAATTTAAATTATTTAATAAGCTAAATTAATTATTAAAATTTGGGTATCTATCGAAGGGGGGTTAGAAATCTCTTAATTTCTGAACTATATTTAGCGGGGTTGCCACATGTTTAAAAAATCAAATTCAATTTAATTCATTACTATAAATAATAATATAACATTTTGCAACTACAAAAAAAACGAATGCCAAAACTAAACTTGTCATGATTACATATTCGTTTTGCCCATATAATAAGAATAAGAAAAAACCAAAAGTACATTAATTGCCTTATAAACGTACATACCACTTTTTGTGCTACTAACCGCAACAATCATGAATTACAACTAGTTAGCAAGCAATTAACGGTCATCTGAAAAAAAAGTGGACTTTCCAAGTTTTTTCTTTCGCTCTCCCTTAAAACGATTACACATATGTATGTATGTACATATAACATATCGCGCGCTAAATCAAAAACAGTCATAACTCTAAATTTGTCAAAATAGATTTTTTCCCATAAAACAGTACACATACACATTTTTTCACGTCCGCCAAAACTCAGCTTCACAACTACAATCTTCAACTGGGAAAAATGCTATTGAGATGCTCTATTTTTCTTTTGGGTTTTTTTGTCCCTCTTGTACATTTAGGACTTTTTGAGCTGTGACTATTTTTGATTTACGCACCTTGCAAAATATTCAATGCAAACTCATTCAATTAATTTCCCTCCTTCACTTCCGCCTTCATTACAGATCAAATGAAACGAAAAACCTCGAAAGCAAAAAGCGAGTAGTTAAAATGCTTTTCGTGCTGGTGCTGGAGTTTTTCATCTGCTGGACGCCGCTTTATGTGATCAATACCGTAGCCATGTTCATTGGACCGGCCATTTACGAATACATCGACTACACATCCATTTGTTTTTTCCAGCTGCTCGCCTATTCCTCCAGCTGTTGCAATCCCATTACATATTGCTTCATGAATGCCAGCTTTCGACGCGCATTTCTCGACACTTTCAAAGGACTGCATTTGCGGAGTAGCAGCAACAACAACAGCAATAATGATGGCGCGAGCAGAACGGGCATTGAAAGTTGGCGTATAAGACGGAATGGCGATGGTGGTGCCGGTGGTGGCGGTGATGGCAGTAGACGTAGCACCAATTTGCCGGCGCTTGTGACAAACGACGCGATATCGCTTACTAATAATGCAATCATGGTACTCAACGACGCATCAGTGCAGGAGTTTGCAACTCCGCCACAACGCAACTAAATGCTATAAACGCACACATGGGAATTGGCAAAAGGAGGCACAGTCCAGGGTGTGGAGAGAAGTTTTTTTTTCCGGTACGGCATTTCGGTGGACTCGCACGGAAAGGGACTGCATACAAGCAAAAGCAATATACTCTTAGCAAGTGTACATCGCCAGCGTAATTGGTTGGTCCTTTCAATTTGGGATATCGAAATTTGAATTGCGATGACACTTCACCAATTTGTTGGGTGGCCAGCATATGGCAGCACACGTTTACAAATGTGGCGTAAATATGTATCTATAAAAGTAATTGTATTTATATAGCTATGTGTAGATTGTATATAAGTGTCAGTAGTTATTTTTATTGAACTTTGATCCATTTGACATTAAAAATAAATATATATGTGCGTATATGCGCGTACTTATGTGCACGTACGTATGTACTTCGTAGACGTACTTCTGTTTTATTTGCTTGTGTGTCTGAACTTGCGACTTAATTCAAAGAAAAAACTCGAAAATCAAATTTCATGTCATTAAATCTCATCGCAAAAAACTTCATCATTGAAATTTCAAGCCCGTAGAAAATGTATTTCTCTTTGTATATATGTATATAAGCATACTCCCAGCAAACCACTTTTTCAGAGTATTCTGAATTGTAGAGAAATTTTAAATAATTCGTAAAGATCTCATACAATTTTTTGCCGAATTTTCTAAAATGAAATAAAATGTGCACACTTCGATTCTTTTACCAAATTTCATAAGAAAATCGGTAAAGCAATGAAAATTATGCTGCTATGTGAAGAATGCTTTGCAGAATATTTTCAGAATTTTCTTTATTTTTCGTACAGAAACTTCTTTACGAGTTCGTGTCAACTCCTTCATATAATTTTCTTAGAAGATTCGTAAAAATCCCGTTACAGAAATGAGATACTTCTAAAAATTTCTTTAAGATTTCGGGAACTTAAGTCAAACATACATATGTAAGCACATTAGAGTGGTAAAATTTTTGTATGGGGAAAAATTTTCATCCTTGAAATTGTTTCCTTTTGATATTTGTAATATCTAGCTCAGTCTCGGGAAAAAAATGTTGGGCCACTCTAATGTACATTAAGGTACAGTGAAAGTTTTTTTTTGAAAATCGCTTTGGAATACCTGCAGAAAACTGACTTTCAAACCCAAAAGTAAAAGGTGCCCGACGGGACACAAGAACTAACAAAATTATAATTTACATATTTTTAATAAATGAAGTAGAATTAAAAAAAAACAATAAAGTATATCTAGAATAATTTGTGGTCGCTGAAACTGAATTTTATGTTCATTTGTTTTTACAAAAGTGGGGTTTCGAGATTACTACCAATAACTACCAAAAGCCCGTTGCATGAAAAATTTAATGAACATCAAGTTCAGTTTTGGCGACCTCAAATTAGTCAAAAACACCTTTTTAAAAAAGTCTGCTTCGTTTATAAAAAAAAAAAAAACAGAGTTTTGTCCGTTTTTCCCCCCAAAACTTGATCCTGGCAGGTGCACCTCTAACTAAAAAACAATGAGATAAATAATATTTTGCACTCTTATTTGTGGGCTAGAAAGCAGCTTTCTGCAGGTACCTTGGCGATTTTCAAAGAAAGCCAAATTTCGCTCCACCTTAATGTACATACATACATACAATCAGGATCATAGAAACAGCGCATTACAATTCTTCTCAACCACTTAAAGTCCAATAAACTTGGCATTTTTCCAATTAGATAATACATTTGTGATATTTCTTTGTCAAAGATTTTATTTATTGTATTTTCGTTAAGCCAATTATGTTTCGTCATTTTAATGTTTGACTGCTGGCAGGCACTTTATGTGCTGCTTTGATGCGGGGAGCTGTAAACCATTGAATGTCTTCACTCTTAAAATGGTACAAAGTGATGCAACTCAAGTGCTATAAAATGGCGGTCCCTCCATCAAAAACTTATGCCATAGAAACTGGCGGAGAAGTTCGGCTGCACACGTACAAAAATGTGCGAGAGCCAAATATTTATTTAGTTTTAGATGGTAACTCGAAGCTCGCTTTCGACTTCAGGCTAGACCAATAGGCTACATACAATTACACGTACATATGCATTTACTTGAACAATTCGTCGCCTGGGTAAATGATTGTCGTATGTTACGCACGTACGTATGACGCTTACGACAATCTTTTACCCAGGCGACGAATTGTGTTTTTGCGTGCTTTAAAAGTACGAAGGACTATGTAGAAAAGAGTTAGACCAGATCCAAAATCTCTTCGGGGTACGTCATTGAAAAGTAAGTATGTAGATAGTTACATATGTCTGTATGTATTTACATATCGCTCATTTACTCAAAACTCAATAAAAAAAAACCGCAATTCATTTCCGAGTGAATGTCAACCCCTGCCAATTTGAATTCAAAGCAAACTTGACTCAAATTCACTCGGAAGTGAATTGCAGAACCTGCTGGACTATGACACTCTTGCTCAATTGAGTGATTTGTACACATACGTGCCTACATATTTCACCCATTCCCACACTAGCGTTCCACCATTAAATATGCTGTTTACCCTCATACGCTCAATAAATCACATATTCGTACATAAATATACATATGTATGTATACATCTCTGTAAGAAAAGTCATCTTGTTTACACATTTCCGACACCCAATTTGTGGTGACGGTGAATTCTTATGTGATATTTTTACACTTGCTTGAAATTTAACGGCGCACTTAAAACTACATACTTAAGTACATAAACAAAAGGGAACTTAAGCTAACACTCACACCCCTTCTCGCTAGGCACACAAAATGGAAAATGCCAAAAGTTGACAAAGCTGATAGATAATTTTTGGTGACAGCTGTCCAGCCGCCAGGCTCAGTTTACTTGTCCTTTCTCCAGTCTCGCATTGCCTGAGACTTTTGAACATTTCGCCATCTTCTCATATCCTTTCCGAGGCAAGCAACACAAATATGATAGACACTGGATGGATATTCACGGATATGATGTCAAGCAATAAATTTATGATGATTGTGTGTTTGCACTGCGTTTTTATACCAGCAGGGAAAATTTGGAATTTTGAATTTTTTGTATATGACCAAATCTAACTCCTGGTTGAAGTTTTGAATAAATATAAAAATATTCTAACGCGAAATTGCATTTAAATGAAAATTTAAAAAAGATATACTAAAGTAAAAATAAACACTCGTGCACATCTACCCGTAGTTGCGTATGTAACGTATACGCCCCGTAGCACCATAAGTAGTCATTTAACACGTTTACTCGCACGTCTTAACTTAAAAGTCATATAATTTAAAAGTAACTAAATATGGCGTGAAAGCTTTTTACATAGTATTCTTTATGCACATTTATATTTTACTTTCTTCATGTACATACATACATAGCAATTTTAGAATGTATTTCGAGTATGCCAACAAAAAGTGTAAAACTGGAATTTTAGTTTTCCAAATCATATTAATTTTTTACTCAATGTATTTTTTTTTACTTGTTGAAACACTGAATTTATTACACTAGATTCGCTCTTTTAGCCAGCATTTTGAAGTATATTAAACTATTATAACATTTAAAAAAAATTTTAAAATTTCAAAAATTGCAAAATAGCTGCTAAGTGGTTCAAATATCTGATTTATTTTTTATGGTAAATACTTGCTTCTGGAACTCCGTTGATTGAAATATATGCAAGAAGAATGCTTTAGCGTCTTTTTTCTGGCGAGACAAAGAAGTGTCACTAAAAAAAACTAGTCGTGTGCGTTTTTCATATATAGCGACACAAGCGCTGGAATATAATTCTAAACTAAAATGAAGCGATAAAGCCCGATTAACATTAATATTCGCGTTAAGAATAATATAAATATAGAATTCGGATGAGAATTAGGACTCGGATTTTGAATAGGATTAGCGAGGGTCAGGATTCGGATTAGGATTAAGATATGGATTCGGATTAGGATTAGGGTTCGGACTCAGACTTTGATTAAGGTAAGGATTCGGATTATGATTAGGATTTGGATTAGGGATTTGCATCGGGATTAGAATTAGGATTCGGATTAGGATCGGAATAAGCCATAGGGCTATGATTATGGTTCAGATTAGGTTTAGGCTTCGGATTGGGCTTCAGATTAAGATTTGGACTTACATAAATGAAATTGTTCATAATTGTTGTACGGGTAATAGGAAGAAGTTTCGCGTGGGATCCGCAAACTACTTTTTTCTATCTAAGTACATATTCTGTTTATAAATTTATAAACCAAAACGTTACACATCACTGCATCTTGTAACAAATTGGCTATAAGGGCGATATATAATTTTGTACATTACAAAATGCTAGAAATAGAGAAGGAGGCCAGATTGAGAAGAACTTGGCTTCACTTGGCGCCATTTAACACAGAAGCGAAACGACTGCGTGCTGTGCTGGACTCGACCAACATCGCTTAGGCGGTTCCTGCGTCAATCTTGAAGAAGAATAATAGTATCACCAAACATTTCATTTCTCAACTGGGCGTTTGCTTGTAGGCACAAGTGACCTAAATACATACATACATATATATATATATATAAAAACATCCGTACTCGTAAGAATGTACATATGTATATATGGAAAGAAAGGAACTAATGGCCGCTGGCTGGCCAGTTATAAATTGAAAAAGAGCATGCCGATATGCTGTTTTTATAAATTGCTTTTTAAGCGCAGAAAAAGTGGCATGTGCATACAAGGACTGCGTGAGAACATGCGTAAATATGCACAACTAAGTACGTGCTCTTGGTCGGACACAGCGACACACTTCCTTCTATGAAAGTCAACAAAGAAACGCTACGTGAAAATGTTTTAAACATAAATTTTCTCAACAGTGTACGCAATGGAAAAGGATAATACATATGTACATATGTATGTGTAGAATAGTTCAATAATCGCAATGTGATTTAAAAATTTAAGTTTTGATAATTTGGTTTTTCTTTTATTTACTTAAGCATTTTAATTAGGCAGGGAGCCGCGGGCCTGAGTGGTTAGAACAATTTTTTTCTATTAGCGATCGCCCCTCGGTAGGCGATGGCAAACCTCGGGGAGAAGCTCGGCCAACACTTAGCACCTATAAGTTTTAAAGGCAAAGGTTTCAAGAATAAACTGAACCTTTTTAAATAAAATATTGCCAAGTAGTTTTTAAATTTTGCATTTTTTATTAATATACCATATATATATATGTACATACATATATAAGAGCGTACCACCTTACAAGCAAACAAAAAAAGTTCACCGCACACCCGTGATTCTAAAATATTTTTGCAAGGCAATTTTGAAAAAAAAACAACTTTTGTTTTGAACGAACGTTGGGGTTGCCTTTTTCGTCAAT